TTTTTCTCCGGTACCGGGAACCGAACTCACGACCTTGCGCTTGCCAGGCAGGCGCTTTTGCCGCTGAGCTAAATCCCCAGCCCCCTAAAGTTCTGAATTTGATTCCTGGGACCAAATGGGGGGGGCGGGGGAGAGAAACAGCTAACAATGCTTTAGTCTATAATAACTTCTTACTATATACAGTAGGTAATCGCCTCTAAAAAAAAAGTAAAAATCAACTCTACAAAACTGTAGGAAATGTGGTACTTTTATATAATAGAGTATTACTCAGCTATAAAGAAAGATAAACTCAGGGCTGGGGAGTTAGCTCAGCGGCACAGCGCCTGCCTAGCAAGCGCAAGCTCCTAAGTTCGATTCTCGGTTACAGGAAAAAAAAAAAGAAAGATAAACTCGAAGCTTTTATAGGTAAATGGTCACTACTAGAGACCATACTCATAAGTGAAATAAATCAGACCTCCATGGGTAAACATCGTATTGTCTCACTAATGTAGGACCTGAAAGAGTGAATAAAAACTAGGAGGTATGATAGACATTGTGAAAGGAAAGGAAAATGCTCAAAGGTAAAGGGCAACTGGGGTGTGGGAAAAGAGAAGGGAAGGAAGGGGAAATTATGTAAGTATGTATACACAGAATAGCTAACATAGTTGTACTACTGTCTTCTATTGCTCTACAGAAAGGAACAGTTAATTACTTGTTTGATCAATCTTGTATGTCTCTATTTGTTTTCCTAAGAAACCACTTTGAAGATATCAGTAAGTAATGCAACAACCACTGTTAATTTCCTACAACTTTGTCTGTAACTCTGTTTTGTTTGTATTGTTCTTTTGCTATTTTGCAAATGGATGTCTGTCTGTTAACATGTTTTCCTTCTTTTATTTAAAAAATACTGTAGAAAAAAAGGCAGTAAAATCTAGTATTTGAGAAAAAAACCTCTAAAATTATAATCACTAAAGTGTCTTTTATTAATAATAGCTCATATTTACTCTATGCTTATTATTCCACATAACTCTTACAATGACTCTTTTTTCTTTTTTTTTTAAGAGTAGGAAAATTTACTGGAGACTAGGAATGGGGAATGGGGAATGGGAGTATCTCCTGAGAGACAGGAGGGGTCCCAAATGGGTTGTCCTACACTGACTCTTTGAGATGCACAGTGTGGTATTTCATCATTACAGTGAAGAAAATAAAGCTAAGAAAGAACTTGCCTAAAGCCACACGACTAATAATTGGTGGAGCCGAGGTCTGTATCCAGACCTAACTCTGTGATTCGCTTAAGAATTATATTGTAAAGACACAAGTTTTACTAGATCATTCAGTTCCATGCGTCAGCCCATGAAAAGCCGTACCTCTACACTTTCATCTTTTATAGTTTCATCCAGTCCAGTGGCTATAGCAACTGCTTTCTCTTGTCTTGACTTGTCCAGAAAATACATCATTTTAGCACCTAAAATCCCAAGACATTTCATAGGGTAAACTCCTATGGCTTACACCTTATATGATTTATACTGACCAGTGATTTAAAATAGTGACCAGTGACTCAAATGTTTAATCAAGGGTGAGCTGGAGCTGGTTCCCACCAGCTCTCAATGTGACATCTCATCTCAATTTCTTTCAAAGAAGAATTTTATTAATACAGTACACATTGCAGCACAAAATGGTTACATTCATTATGGGGAATTGGTACATGCACATAACACATACCTTCTCAACTTTCTGTACAGTGACATACCGTACTGATAGTCGTGGCTGCAGTGTGAATATCGTTATCATGATAAAACATTACAAAACAGAGCTGTCTTCCTTAACAAATGGCTATTAAACATTTACCCAAAGAACACTACTTTAACTTTCTCTCCTTAGAAACAATGTAATTAAAAGTACAAATAAAGACTAGCCTATGGTATCAATCAGTATTTCAGTTAAAACCATTAACAAAAGATGATACCCTAAACTAAAACATACAGGGAACAAGTCACTGGTACACAGGAGTGGGGTTAAACAAGAAAAATGTCTGCATATTCACAAAAAAATAAGTAATTTTTAAAAAGTTTATATTTCCCCTATAAATTGTTTTATACCCTATATCTGTTTTGCTATTACATTCTTATTAGGTCTTTCTATATCAGCTTTTGACAAATTACATGTCTGAATTTTTTTCAACTGGGCTTTTGATTTTAATTTTTATGTGCCAAAATTTTCCTTTTCTTTAGAATTTCATATAACGGTAGCCAGGCATGGTGGCATCTGCTTGTAATCCCAGCACTCAGAAGGCTGAGGTGGGAGAATCACTATGAGTTCCAGGCCAACCTAGGCTCACAGCAAATTCAAGCCCAGCCTGAACTACTTAGCGAGACCCTGACTTAAAAATCCAAATAAAAAAACAACAGTGAAAAACAATTTAATATAATGTTTAAAGAAGCATTTCCTATAATTACTAAAAAGTTTTCTATGATCCTCTGTTATTAAAGAGAAATTCTTACCCGCTCCTACAACCAAGAAATGTCATTTTTCAAAAGAAGTAATGTTTTTTAAAGATATTACATATGAGAAGATATTCTTTAACAAGAAAGCTTAGGTTATAGTATTTAAATCTATGGCTTAAAACAGTTAATTATGATACATTTTTCATTTTGCTCTCAATTTCTCTTTTATAACCTTTTCTGAGTTTAATTTATGCCATATTCTCATTTTATCAATTTGTATAAACTCCCTAAAATACTTCCCTTAAGACAGCATATAAATAAATCCTCAAGATAGAAAATACACAAAAGCAATAAAAAAATCAAGAAAAAAATAAATTACTCATAACCACAACTCTCAACGGCAACATTAAAGCCTGGTATACACTTCCTTTTCAGCCTTTTCCCAAGCATATTTCTACAGTTGAGATTATACTAATTTCTCAGTATGTACTGTGAAAGTATTCACCATTACCATGACGAATCACTTGAACAAACATTACTTCCAGTGACTACGTGGTAGTCCACCCCATCGACCTGCCACTGGCTCCTCCTATTACTGTAATACATCTGTTCTCACTCTTTTCCCTATGCTAAGCTCTTTCTTTGCTTTACATTCATTCTTTTAAATTATTTTCAGAAGTGAGACTACTAAGTCAAAAGACACAGGTTACTTGAGGTTCTTGACAATGACAAATTTTTTGTTTTTTCCTTCCGGTACCGGGAATCAAACTCACGACTTCACGCTTGCCAGGCAGGCGCTGTGCAGCTGAGCTAAATCCCCAGCCTCGGCAAATTGTTCTTCTAAGTGACAAGGCCAATTTAGATTCAAACAAACAAAGTGAAAGAGTGCTTGACTGCCACATCCTCACTGCACTTTATTTTCCTTTTTCACAAATTTTTAAGAAAAAACTAATTTGTGGGCTAGGGATAGAGCTCAGTGGCAAAGTGCCTGCCTGGCAAGTGCAAGGTACAAAAAAAATTCGATTCCTGGTACAAAAAAAAAAAAAAACTAATTTGAAAGAAACAAATGGCATTGTGTTCATTTCTTTTTTCTCTGGTAAACAGCCAGGCTGAATATCTTTCCAAATATTTGTTTGTACCATATTCTAACTTTTTTCTATAAGCGTTATAACTGTGGCAGCTAAATACAAACCTGAAAGTAGATGCTGAAGAGAGGTAGTGTTATATTTGAGAAAATCTTCACTAAAGCTTTCCAAATCCCTGTTAACAAATATTTTCTGTATTTCTTTTTTTTTTTTTTTTTTTTTTTTGTACCGGGAATCGAACCTCACACTTGCCAGGCAAGCACTATGCTGTTGAGCTAAATCCCCGGCCCTTTTCTGCATTTCTTGAGGCAGAACTTTGCTTACAATGTCTTGAAGATTACTTTGAACAGACACTACATAAACAAAAGCATTTGGACTTTAATTTCTAGTATTTAGCTCAGACATTTAATTTATAGAATATTTTCAATTAAATACAGGGAGCATCACTTTTTTTGATTTACATTGTTGCTTGTCTCTTTTAATGTCCAGCTAAATGGAAGACAGCTCAGATTTACTTCTTCTGTTTGCTGTTCCATAAACATTACCTGTTTATACTGACCAGATTTAGAAAATCTAACTAAACATTCATGTAACCATGGATTATTACTGCTGATGGCAAAAGCTCGTTTGACAGACTGCAGCATTAACAGAAACTTCCCTGGGTCAAAAAGATAACAGCATCAGTATTTATGTGATTTTCTTTACTTTCTTTGGGCCTCACTTACATTCAATAACAAAATATTATCATCTTACAAATATTCATAAACCAAATTCAAAGCCCAGTTTTTGCTTTCCAAAGAAAAGCTTGAAAAACCATGCAAAATTGTTAGAGGTAAACAGTTTTATGATTTTCAAACTATTTTTAAACTGGATTTGATTATAATATTCTAATATATTACCCAGCAATGTTACAACAAAGGAAAAGGGCATTAAGAGCCTTTGTGAAGGCTGAAAAGAAACTTAAGAAACAAAAATAGACCTGACAAAGCTTGTATTGATTATGGTCACTTCTATGATTTAAGAATTAAAAACTGAACTCACAGCTGAGTGGGCTTAGAGGTACAGCCTAGCATGCATAAGCCCTAGATTTGACCCCCAGCACTGCTCTCAAAACAAAACAAAAACTCATGAAACTAAACATCTACTACCTTTTCTAAAATATATTTCAAATGCTAACAGATGGGTGTCAGTGTTACCAGCAACAAGGTTCATAAGAGGTGTAAGGAACTTGATGGCTTCTTCTAACGGGTTTCCTACCGATTTTGAAGCAGAAAGAAAACTTTTTTTATTAAAAAAGTTATTCATATCAAATCTCCCCTAGAATTTTATATTAACATTTATCTAAAGTAGTTTAGTTTTCTTCATGTAACCAAACAACCAAGAAAACATTAAAAGTTACCCATAAATAAATTAAGGTACAGAGATAATGATTCTCAAATTAAGAATAACTATTGATTTTTATACCTATAAAATCAAGGTGACTTTATAAAAATAAAAAACTACTTAAAATTCTCTCACAGACTTTAGAAAATGGTGCATCAAGTACTAATTGTTCTTTTTATAATACAGACAGCTAAAATAAAAAGACAGATACAATATCTTCTCATAATTGGGGAAAAAGTAACATTTTAAATGATTATACCAGATTTACCATAATTAAGTCAGAAAACTAAATACTTCCCAAAATTTGGCCCCGAAATAACTGTCAACACTTCAATCCTGTATTCCATAAATTGCTGTTATAACAAATGAACAAAAACATAGAGGCTTAAAACAACACAAGCTCATCTTGAAAGTCCCACACAGCACCATCTCACTGGGTGTAAGATCAAGGTGTGGGCAGGACTTCATTCTCTGTCAGAGATTCAAGGGGAGAAGCCACTACTTTGGCTTTTTCTGCTTTGAAAGGCTGCCCACATTGTTCACCGTATAGACATCTCCCTCTCTCTTGAAAGCCAGCCAGCAAAACCAGTTAGTCCTCAAATCCTACCACCCTGACTTCTGCTTTCTTTCTCACCTTGTAAGGTCCAACCTGATCACACTGGGTCACACAGTGACCAAGCTAATAAACCAAGCTAACAAACCAAGCTAAATAAACCAAGCTAATTCCCGTCCTAATTATAGCCCTGCATCCCATCTGCTGCCTTAATTCCCCTTTGCCACGTAAGACCACATATTCACAGGTTCTGGGGACTGGAACAGATACCTTTAACTAAGGGACCATTACTTTGACCACCACAACACAATCCCTTGTACTGTCAACAGTGCTAAAAGTCTGCATATTGTCACTCAGAGTTAAAATGGTGGTTATATAATGACCTTGAAATACTGCAAATGGCTTCTGATTTTTTCCTTTTTTTTTTTGATACCAGAAATCGAACTCAAGACCTTGCATTTGCCAGGCAGGGACTTATGCCACTGAGCTATATCCCTGGTTGGCTTCTGATTTACAGGTTTAAGTAAACTGTGTTTATACTCAGAACAGAACCAAACAGCATAAATTTTAGCAAATAACAATGGTAAACTCATCTCACCCTTTCTAATTTTTCAGGTACAAGTTCTTCCTTAAGACCACTGGATTCTTCTTCATCATCTCTTTTTTTCTTTTGACTTTTTTGTTGGTGCTCCCTTTCTGCATGCTTTGTCTTTTCTTCTAGTTTAGCCTTTTTGTGAGCTCTTCTCTGCTTGCTAAGCATTTTCTTCAGTTCTTTGGCTGGCAAGTTTTCTATAAATATTCAAATGAATAAAAATTATGAGTCAAAAATGTTTACAATTTTTCCTATATCCTTATACATACTATTAATATAACTTTTTTTTGTGAGGGGCGGGCACTACTGGGAATCAAACTCAGGACCTCACCCTTGCCAGGCAGGCACTGTGCCACTGAGCTAAATCCCAGGCCCAATGTAACATTTTGGTGGGAGTAACTTTATTGAAGTTTTCAGACAATGCATTACTGTGCTTAACATAAAACCTGGTATACAAAAGGCAACCAGTAAGTGCTGGCTGCATTAATTACAACTCAGCAATTTTAGTCCAGTTCTGTCTCCTACACAATAAACAACTTCAGGTAAATCACATTATCACTCTCAGTCTCAAGTTGCAAACTGTGCACAGGAGGACAAATATCAGAGACTCAGAATATTTCAGAGATAAGGGGTAATGCAGATAAACACCCTTGTGATCGATAACATTATATAACTATTAGAAACGAAAGCTCAGAAACTTGCCTCCAAGTTACCTTTTCTCAAATATTCCTAGATATTAACATTCTAGTGAATGAAATACTACTGGCATTCTCATAGTACTTTCAATAAGTATGTACCTGAAATTTTAGGATTATGTATTTTTCCTGAAGGTGTTGAAAGCTATTTTAGTTATAATTTAAAGAAAAAAATTTTTAAAAAACGGTCCATAGACATCTCTGTTTTTCCTGAACTGATTTTAGTAAGTAAGAAAAAAGTGCAGGTCAGTCTTTTAGGGTGATTAAGAACATCAGCTACACAACATTATCCTGACTTTTTTTTGTTATTTTAACATTATCTTCATTTGATAATACCTTTTTCTTTTTTTTTTTTTTTTTTTGTCTTTTTTGAGATAGGATCTCACTATGCAGTTCAGGCTGGCCTTGAGCTCACTTTGCAGCCCAGGCTGGTCTCGAACTCGCAACGATCCTCCTGCCTCAGTTTCCTGAGTGCTGGGATTACGCATGCACCACCATGCCTGGCTGACAATACATTTTTAAACAGTTATTTTACAAGCATATGGGCTATAGTAAGGTAATTCAATACACAGATATAGTATGTAGTGATCAAATCAGGGTGATAACATTTCTACCTTCATCAACATTTGAGAATGTGTTTTTCTCAGTACTATTTATGTTAATGATTTTTTTTTTTGTCTTTTTGAGACAGGGTCTCACTAGAGAATACAGTTCAGGATGGTCTTGAACTCACTTTGTAGCCCAGGCTAGCCTCGAACTCACAATGATCCTCCTGCCTCAGCCTCCCAAATGTTGGGATTACAGGCATACCCCGCTTGTTAATGGCATTTTGAAATCTGATGTTCTTTCCAATTTTTTTTAAACAAGTTCCTCTTCAGTTACCTGAATTTATTTCTTGCTGTTTTCTTTCATTGGTTAAGGGATTATCATATAATTTCAAATATACTTCAATCACTGTCTTCTGAGACTATCTTCTAATCTCAAAAGGTCAACACAGGCACAAAGGATCATCTTTCTCATGCAGCATGTATGGAAATCAAATTGATCTTCAGTTATCTCAACAAAATGCTTAAAAACAAAACCATAAAATTATCCCTTAGATTTATGTTAATAACATCTTTTTAGAAAATTATGAAAAGTCTAAAAATCAATGTAAGCACCCATAATTTCACTTAGTTGTCTTCCCTTATTTTAACACTTTAAAAACTTTTTTGTTTGTTTGTTTTTTTTCTGGTACCAGGAATTGAACTCACGACCTTGCACTTGCCAGGCAGGCGCTGTGCCGCTGAGCTAAATCCCCAGCCCCATCACTTTAAAGGACATCAAGTTCTTTGCATTCAACTTGCAGTGTCTCTTTCTACATATCTATTCCTTGTGAATCATGTTTTGTGGTGATACTCAACTTCAATGCTGGTAAGTCAATGACCAGGTTATTTTTAAACCTAGAAATTAGTACATATCAGTATTTCAGTCTTAGTATTTTTCCTCTGTATTCACTAAAAGCCAACAAGGCAGAGTAAACAGAGCACTGAGGACTATATACAGATTAACACTAAATATTTACCAGTCTGACTAATCTAGTCAAACCTGAGCTGCTAAGAGAGCAGTATTTATCATCCATAACCCCCTTTGACTGGCGCAGGGCCTAACACACAGCAGACATGCAAAACGCACAGTATCTGCCAAGTGAAGAGATACGCTACTTACCAAATGTGTGAACTTGAGCACATCCTTAAATTTCCTACAGCCCTGATTGCTTAATCTAAGCTAGAAATAAAGGAATTTACACAGGCCATTTCTTAAGGTTATTAAAGGACCAAGTAAGAATATATTTTAAAGTTCATCTTCAATTGTAAACTATTATACAAATAGAGCATTACAGTTTTCTCTAACTCAAAAAAACTGCACTGATCGACCTTGATTCCATTTTACAAAGAAATTGTTTGTTTGTTTTTAAGGTTCTCACCTGTCCAGAAAGACAAACTGTTTTTGTTTTGCTTTGCTTTGTTTTGTTTTGATAGTGGTAGTACTGGCAACTGAACCCTTTGCACTGAACTAGACAAGGTCTTGCTAAGTCACTAAGTTGCCGGCGCTGGGCTCAAAATTGTGATCCTTCTGCCTCAGCCTCCCAGAGTGTTGTGATTATAGGCATGCATACACCCAGCTCAAAAATTCTTAATCTGAAGTCTGTAAACAAAAACAACTTCCTCAAGAAAGCTCAAAGCATTCATTCAATTTCCAAAGAGTCACTGGGCCCCTAACAGTTAAGAACTAATCCTTTCCATGGAAAGGAAAAAAACTAACCCCTAGCCCCACAAAGCACTTTTATAATATCATTTTCTCCCTGATGTACATTTCTACATTTGATACTTTTCTTCTGATTTAGCTTCTCCAAAATCATAAACATGAATAATTCAACATAGCAACAAGGATAAAACTTCTCTACTGCTTTGGGTTGCTCTGTCCTAGTGGGTACAGTGATTCACTGTGCAGGACAGTTTGTAACTGTCCATAATCATTTGCTCATCTTAGTCATCTTGGTAATTGGAAACACGCTTTACAAAGAATTACATTAAGTACCTGAGACTTTAAGAGAGGAATTCTAAGATACAACTAATACAAGTACAGTATGGAGGACTAGAAAAAAATGAACATTTCATATTAGTTTATTTTTATTACTAAAAAAGCATGCTTTAATATTATATTTGAATGCTACATTTTTCCCACCAATAACACAAATTCATAGGTAACATTGTTTTATTTTTTAAAAATCAAAAGATAACTATTTCATAAAGTTGTTAGTGGTTTTCCTTGATATACATCAAGTTATATCTAACGCCATAATAATATCTTAAAAATTCAATACAGCTGACTAAGGCAAGATGGCAGTGATAAAAGTCGTGGAACACATAATGAGATGAACACATCTAAGAGAATACGGGAATTTTCTAGGCAGAAAAATGTGTTAAAAGGAAGATGACAAGCTTCAAAAGATACTGCTAGAACCTTTAGTGGACACAGATTTTAAGTCAAGCCTTGGAGGGAGCCATACAGAAGTGAGCAGTTAAGCCGCCTCTTTCTCAGAACAGCCATAGGCTGCCTCTCTCCCGTTAGCGTCTTCCTACGCAAGGTGACTGTTACAGTTCATGTCTGTCTGTCCCCCCAAAGCCTCATGCAGTCATGGGGCAGGCTTTTGGAGTTTGATTGATTATGGGTGTGAGAGCTACACCCGCCCTGGGGTGGAAGTTTGCCTATGTAAGGGAGAGGAAGAGGCTGCTTGCAGCCATTCCTCCCCTTTTGTGTTTGTTGCTTTTGCTGTGTTCTGCCGCCATGAGCTGTAGCCCTCTGCCATGTGCCATTCTGCCTTGTAACCTGCCAAGTATGGACTGAAATCTCCACAAACTGTAAGCGAAATAAACCTTTCCTTCCTTAATTTTGGGCGTCAGGTATTTTGTCCCAGCAACGAGAGAAAAGTAACCAAGACAGTGACCAACTTACTCCAGCACGCCAGAAGCACTCCCAGTTCTTCAGGTGCGAACACTGTGTCTTGGAACTGCTCAGCCACTGGAAAGCCTGGGTGGTTAATCACTCTGCAATAATAGCGGGGGAAAATATGACTAGATTAAATCAGAAAAAGTAGGAACAATACTGTGGACACACACTGCAGAAAAAGGAGGCAGGATACTGCAGATTAATAATTTTTCTTCGGAAGAGATAGTCTGTTGTAGAATACAACATAAACACCTAAACAATCTTGAGTTAATCTTTTTAAACATTGGAATAAGTAGACACAGAGGAAGCTGCAAAGCTAGTACAGAGGTCCTGTGGCCCTTCCCTCAGCTTCCTCCAAAGGTCACAGCTCACATAACTGCAGTACGCAGACCAGGAACCAGACAGACGCAGTGTGTGACTACTGTTATGTGTGATTTTCATGACTATGGACTCCTGTAACCACTATCACACTCAGTAACTATCACCATGAAGCTTTTTTTGTACTATTTTGGGTTGGTCTTTTTAAGTCTCTAAAATTGTAAAACAAAAATATTCTATGTAAAATGAACAGATATGGTGGTGCATGCCTGTAATCCCAGCACTCGAGAGGCTGAGGCAGGAGGATCG